TGTACACTGTGTGATATATAAACAGTCTTTCGCTGGCAGCAAGAAGTCTTAAAAAGGGTTGACTCTTGTGTAAAAACATTTTTGCCCTCATTCATCCCATTATGTCCTCACCTTTGCTTTTCACTTTTTCCATCACTTTTTAAAAACTTTAGAGAGAGAAAAAGCAGGAAGAGGGAGGGGGAGGGGGAGAAGGGGAGAGAGAGGGAGAGGGAGAGGAAGAGGGAGAGAGAAGGGGGAGGGGGGAGGGAGAGGGAGAGGGAGAAACATCGATTTGTTGTTCCACTTATTTATGCATTCACTGGTTGATTTTTACATGTGCCCTGACCAGGGATCAAACCTGCAACCTTGGTGTATCAAGAGGACACTCTAACCAACTCAGCTAACCGGCCAGGGCTTGCCATCACATTTTAACCTATGCTCTTCTATCACAAAACTTTTGTGATCTGCCTAAGATACTTTCTGGGACAAGGCAACATACAGACTACCTGCCTACTGTAGTAGTATAAAGCTCTTTAAGACAGAGTCTGATTAGTATTCCCACTCTTGATCAGTTTACACATTATTTTTGTAATACAAACTCTAGACCTCATCATTCCTGAGGTGTTTTGTTTTGTTTTTAAGATGGCAGAAATATCCCAGCATTACTGCAAATAAGATGGGGGGGGGGGGGGGGGGAGGTATGTATTGGAAACTTACATTTACTTAATTCTTATAACCCTAAGCATAAGTCCTGTTTTACTTGTGAAGAAACAAACACTACGGAACTTACCGTAAGTCACAAGTGCAGGAAGTAGCTGATGGTCATTAGAACGGAGGTCTGTAAGATTCCAGCCCACCCCTTTCAATACACTCTGCTGCCTCCTTCAAATCAGAGAGACTTGTTTCTTTTATCAGAAACTTCCATTTTCTCTTCATATTTTAAAAAATAATGCTATAGAATCAAAGGTGAAGCATCTCTTTCTGTTTTAAATATGGTATCTTACCAACAAAACAAAAACATTCTGAAATATATAAACTGGAAAGCAAAACAGGTCCATGTTGATAAACAATTCCAGACTCTTGATGTGTTTGTTTTACCTAAATGGGATCAAATTAAACATAGTCTTCTGGAAAACTGCTCTTTTCATGGAATCATGCTGCTTTTCCATGTTAGTACCTTTGGATCTACCATTTCCTTGTTAATTACTATACACTTCGCTGCTAAGCAGATGGACTTGAGCTTTCTTTCTTTTCCCATGTGGTTCACACTAAGGCAGCTAACAGGCTCATAAATAACTCACCTACACTCATGCCTCAGGATTTTGATTACTTTGCTGTTCCTTCATTTCTTTCAGATCTCTGCTCAAATGATACCTTATGGGAGAGACATCCCTTCTACCTACAACACTACCTTCTACCATTTTCCATCCCCTTTCACATATAATCACTTGATATATTTTATTGTTTATGTTTGCTGTCTTCAACTAGAAAGTAAAAGAAGTTGTGTGCCAGTTATGAGGCACTGAGGATATAGCCTTGACCCTCCGTTGTGTCCTAAAAGAACCTATGAACTGGCACACAACCAGCAATCAATAAATACTGTTCAATTAATCTCCTAACTTGAAATGTCTTCTGTATTATAATGTAAGGTCCATATAAACTTGGTTTATTTCTGGACTTTCCATATAATCCTATTGATTTATCTATGTATCATGTGCCAGTACAAAATAGTCTTATTAGTTACTATAATTTTGTTTTAACATATGATATGCCAAATTTTCCTTCTTTTTGAGAATTTTCTTGATTATTGCCATATTTATCTCTCCAGGATGAATATCAAAAATCAAACATCATTTCAAAATATTTTTTTAAGTTCTCATTAGAACTACAATGATATAGAATGAATTATCATATTTAAAAACAATTAAGTCTTCCTAGTCAAAAACAAGTTATGTCTATATAATAGTTATTCAATCTTCTTTATAGTTTTAAGCAGGACATTACAGTTTTTAATATTTCTGGAGAATATATGGTGGTGGTTTTTAAAAAAGCTTCTTTCCCACCATGTTTCTAACTGGTGATTATTGGTTCATATTTTATAAAAGCTATGGTTTTTAATATGTACGTATCATTATATAACATATATTAGCACATTTTTGTGTATACACACACACACACACACAATTTTCTTAACACTTCCCCATTTTACCAAACTTGTTATTTAAGATGTTTCAGGTAATTCCTTTCTATGTTGCATGCATATATGTGATGTTATCTATAATAATAAAAGTGTAATATGCTAATTAGACCAGACAGCTGAATGACCTTCCGGACGAATTTTGTGCATCGGGCCTCTAGTCATATATAAATTATGACAATACTGCCTTCATTTTTCCACTGTTATACCTCTTATTGGATCCCTTTTCTAATTCTCTTAGGTAACTGGTTAGTACTTCTAAAATACTCTTAAATAATACTAGAAGACAACTTTTTATCATTCTTGTCTTTACTTCTAATATTTCACCACTAAATATTATTCAGGCTACTAATTTGTGATACACATTTTTATCATGTTAAAGAAATATGATACACTTCCTCAGTTTAGCAAGTTTATATTTCTAGAAAATACCTATTCAACACCTATCAAGATAACCATATTATTTTACTTCTATTAAAATGTAGAGTTATAAGAACAGACTTCCTAAGACAAAGCATCCTTTATTCTTGAAGTGAACTTTACTTGACTTTCTGCAAGTTAAATTTTCTAATGAAAAGCCTGACACTATTGGCTAATCTCTCTCCTTTTGAATTTTTGGACTAATATCCTATAGACATTTTTCATGTTGTCTTTGTCAATTTGAAGTTTGTATCACACTATCTTTGTAAAAAGTTTTATTTCTTACATAGTACTGAGAATTGATTAAAAGTTTGGATACTAAGGTAAAACTGTCTACATATTAATTTTAATTTTGTCACCATTCTAGTTATTTGACCCTGGACAAATTCTTTATTTCTGTAAAGTCCATTTTTCTTAACTTTATAAAAAGAAGACAAAGGGTTGTTACAGAGCTCAAATGTGGCCAATTCAGATGAAATTCTTAGAACAATGCTTGCATCATATGTGTGAACTTATTATTAAAATAGATGCCCTAGTATCCAATACAATCAGAACAAACAGTAAGTAAACTGAAAAAATGGTCAGAGGGAATCATAAAAAAAAAAAAGATACACATACATAATTTAAACATTTTTATTTTAACATAAAATTTATAAATGAACATTTATTCTCCAATCTCCTGACATAGCCAACGCTTTCTCTTTGCACAGAGGATTCACTGAATGGGATTCTACATTAGCTTTCTTGCATAAACCACATCGATACATATCATCAAGGATTTAAAACAATCAGAGTGTCTTCTAAATTTTTATGACTTTTCTTTCTAATTTATATCTATTTGCCAAACTTTAAGTCCTTGCAAAGCACTGCATCTGTTAATTAAATGACAAATATACAGTAATAAAAAGTTGGCATGAAAGATTGGAAACAACTGCCTCTTGGTCATCATACTCTTCAGTGGGATAGTTACCAGAGTTACTAGCTGCAAAAATTCAGCTTCCCATGTTATCTAAGCTAATATTATTTACAGAAGAAATGGAAAGTTATCTATTAATCTAACAAGTCTATTGAAGGAAAAATTCATAGTATATTGGTATCTGTCTCATATCAATTTCTTTTCTAAAAGTTTTCATGCATATTTTAAAATACTTATGCAAATCTTACAAGTTGTAAATTAAGCATATATAATAAAGGGGTAATATGCAAATTGACCCCAACAGTGGAATGACCGGTTGCTATGATGCGCACTGACCAGCAGGGGGCAGACACTAGACGAAGGAGCTGTCTCTTGGTGGTTAGTGTGCTTCCACAGAGGGAGTGCCACTCAGCCAGAAGCCGGATCATGGCTGGCCAGCACAGCAGCGGTGGCAGGAGCCTCTCCCACCTCTGCAGCAGCGCTCAGCCGTTAGTTAGACATCCCCCAAGGGCTCCTGAGCTGCCAGAGGGATGTCTGACTGCCAGTTTAGGCCCAATCACCCGGGGAGCGGGCCTAAGCCAGCAAGTGGACATCCCTGAGGGCTCCCGGACTGTGAGAGGGCGCAGGCCGGGCTGAGGGACCCCCCCCCCCACAGGTGCACGAATTTTCGTGCACCAGGCCTCTAGTATTATATATGGAGGGAAAGCTCTTTTTAAAAAATATATATATATTTCTTTATTGACCTCAGAGAGGAAGGGAGAGGGGAGAGAGAGAAATATCAATGATGAGAGAGAATCACCGATCAGCTGCCTCCCGCACGCCCCCCACTGGAGACCAAGCCCTCAACCCAGGCATGTGCCCTTGGCCGGAATCGAACCCGGGACCCCTCAGTCCGCAGGCTGATGCTCTATCCACCGAGCCAAGCCGGCCAGGGCGGGAAAGCTCTTTTTAAAAAAAATTATTTAAAATATTAGATGAAGAGAAAGGTGACTGATGTATGATAATTACTTATAACCTAGGTCATATGATGGGCTCAAATCATGAAGACCCATGCTTCATGATGAATATATTTTGCTGTGTATACATATATAGATACATTTAAACATATATGCAAATGGATATAAAATAAGAGTATTTCTTTGCAATATCCCAAACCATTAATTCTTCCATCCTGTCATACTTAATGAAAATGTATCTACCATTCATTTTCTCCTCCCTCATATTTATTCTTCCTTCCCAGTCTCATCTTTTCTACTTCAAGCCCTTTGATTTAATCACACACACACACACACACACACAGATTTAGAGACCTTAAGATCCTTAATTTTACTAGATCAAAGTGCCTGCATTCTAGTTTCTGTCATTCAGCAGTCATTAGAGCCTTCAAGAGAATCATGCTGTTCTCCCTCTGAAAACATTCTGAAAGATTTTAAATATCCTACAGAGTATAACAACCTCCACTCAGCAAATATGAAATCACAAGCTTACCTTATTAATTCTAGTTGTGCAAGTTCCTGATTTGCTTGAAATATAGGTTTTTTAGTGAAGAGTTCACCAAGGATACATCTAATGGAAAAAATACCCATCATTAGCAAATGATATGGATTTTACTTAACAAAGGTTTCAAGTAAATTAAACCAATCAATAAACCTATCTTACCCACAGCTCCACACATCAATAGCCGGTGTATACCGTTCTTCTCCCAACAGCAGTTCAGGTGGACGGTACCATAAAGTGATGACCTTGTTAGTATATGGCCGACTAAAACAAAAAAACAAGCAAAACAAACAAAAAAACACCAACTCTTTAGATTTAGTATCTGTTAGAATAAGAGAAATTCTCTTAGGAAATATTAGTTTGGCTGCTCAAAAAAAAACTAAAATCCTAACTAAAATCACTTTCATATGCCTATTAAATACAGACAGATAATATATGATTATAAAATACATGTGAGCAATGTGATTAACTGAAAAATCCCATAATATATAAAAATAAAAATTGGCTGGTTTTAATTATAATGTGGCCAAAGAAAGGTCTTTTTATCAACTCCACTGTTCAGTACTGCTTTTCCTTTCTATAATAATGTTTAAAGAGATTAACTGGCTTAAATAGAGTTGATTTTGACCAAACCTGGCAAATTACCAATATGTAGGAAGATATATTTTCAACTGGAACACCTAACAGAAGTTTTCAACTGGGCATATCTCTGGCAATCTTTCATTGGTTTCAATCCACTTTAGTATGTGAACAGAAAGTACAGAAATGTAGATTGTAGTAGTTGAAGTCTATGCTGCAAAAAATCACTAGCAACAGGTATAATACTTTATCAGATGATTCCTTTGTCACCTTCTAACAGAGAGGGCATATATATACTGATATCTCTTTATTTACCATATAAGAGATTATCTAGTAAGTTGTATTAGGGACAAGTTTTACCACCACAGTACAAATTCTCTGGCAAAATGTTTTCAATCCTTAGAGAATGATCACACTCTGCTGATTTACATGACTAAAGAGGGTCTTAAGAAGTTAGAGGTGGTTCTTGCACTGATCGTGTTTAGGATATATACTTCAGGTTGATCACTATGTGTTTAGATCAACTCTAAACCTCTTTCTGGATATCATCTGAATCACAAGAATGCCAAGGCCATCTCATAGGAAATGCCCCATTAAGGCTGTATTTCACTTGAGGTTGGCTTAGCCCTGAATCAGTTTTGGGAATAAGGAAAGGAGTATCCTATATCATAAAAGCCTAATATGCTAAGTGTCCGGTCAATGGGTTGGCCGTTCAACCAATCAAAGCGTAATATGCTAATGATATGCTAAGGTCGTTCAACCGCTCACTATGACATGCACTGACCACCCGGGGACAGACGCTCTGACCAGTAGGTTAGCTTGCTGCTGGGATCTGGCCAGTCGGGACTGAGCGAGACGGGCTGGACACACCATGGAGCCCTCCCACAATCCCTCCCCGGCTGGCCAACCTCCCGCATCCCTCCCCGGCCCTGATCATGCCACCAGTGGGGTCCCTTGGCCTGACCTGCACCCTCTCACAATCCAGGACCACTCGGGGGATGTTGGAGAGCCAGTTTTGGCCTGATCCCGCAGGCCAGGCTGAGGGACCCCACTGGTGCACAAATTCATGCACTGGGTCTCTAGTATAATTTATAAAGCAATTCCCTCTTACTAACCATAGGTCTGAAGTTCCAGATAGCGTAAGACCTCAGCAGCCTGCACCCAGCCAAATTTCTCCAAATAATTTAAATACTTGTGCTATATGCCATCAATCTGGGCATCACAGCATTATCACAGGCAGGACTATAGTAACAGTATGCCAAAGCAGGAAAAAAGATTGACCTTGGTATAAATTGTGAAAATAAGGAATATAGTATAAGAAATATATGTTCAATAGCAAATTAGAATTTGACTTTTCTAACATTATTAAAATACCTTTTTTAGTGATTTTTGTTTGTTTACTAGAACCACTTATTTTCACATAAGGTCTTTTAAAATATAGATACTAAATTAGTATCACACTACTCTAATTAAACTGGACTTAATCATTCTTTAAAAATGAGTTCTCATTATAAATTTGAAATTCCTTCCCTATTTTTCTCAATCAGATCCTGTACCTCTTTCAAGGCACAGTGAAAGACCCATCTCCATAATGACTTATTTCTGTTTACAATAGATTTATTTTCACATTCTGAAATTTGTATCACACCAACCACTGTATTAAACACTCTATTTTAGGTTTTCTACCTTCCCAAAGAGTCAAAAGACCCCAGAGAGCATTCTTTTAAAAAAAAAATAATACATGCTCAATGTAGTCATTTTTAAAAAAGATATTTTTATTATTTCAGAGAGGAAGGGAGAGGGAGAGCTAGAAACATCAATGATGAGAGAGAATCATTGACTGGCTGCCTCCTTCATGCCCCCTACTAGGGATCCAGCCCATAACCTGGGCATGTGCCCTTGGCTGAAATTGAACCTGAGACCTTTCAGTCCACTAACAATGCTCTATCCAACTGAACCAAACGAGCTAAGGCCCAGAAACCATTCTTTATTATGAACCCCACACACAAAGCCTGAACAATGCTGGCATAGGGCAGACACCTTAATGTTTATGGGCCTGCAACTTTAGGTTACATACATGAATTAGCGACCTGGGTGAAAGAACAAAATTTGTGAAAATTATGAAGACTAGTTTTCTAAAACATTTCAAGCGTCTATAAGCCTATGAAACCCATGCTCTTATTACTAAAGTGCAACGAGTTATCTATAGTAAAGAAAATGTTTAAATTAATATAAATCTATCTGTAAATAGCTAATTTTAAAATCTTTTTATGTTTAAAATGGTTTTCTTAATGTTTTTATTGATTTTTAGAGAGAGAGAAAGAGAGAGGGAGAGGGAAACATCGCTGTGAGAGATAAACATTGATCCGCTGCTTCCTGCACGCCCCCTACAGGGGATAGAGCCCACAACCCAGGCATGTGCCCTGACCAGGAAATGAACTGGCCCAGGATGACGTCCAACCAACTAAGCACACAGGTAAAGGCTTAGATGTTTTTTAAAAAAACATGTTGAATTATGTGGAGAAATTACACACATAAAGGTTACTAAATCATAATGAGAAAGAAGTTTAAATAAGATTATTATTTTACATCTCAAGTTCTAGGCAACATTTAGAGCATTTTAGCAGTTTAAATTATGTTTTAAATGTTTTTCAAAAAATACTTTAAATAAGCTTTTTAATAAACTAGTTTAATAAACCATTTTTAAAATATTTTTTTATTGATTTCAGAGAGGAAGGGAGAGGGAGAGTGAGAGATAGAAACATCAATGATGAGAGTGAATCATTGATCGGCTGCCTCCTGTATAGCCCCCACTGGGGATTGAGCCTGCAACCCTGGCATGTGCCCTGACCGGGAATCAGACCGTGACCTGGTTCATAAGTCAATACTCAAGCATTGAGTCATGCCGGCTGGGCTAATAAACATTTAAAAGTTAACACCGACAATAGACAATAAAAAAGATTGCTTTATTAAAGTCAAGAAAAATTTCTTGATGATTCCAAATTTTTGCAAAACAGGTGCCAAACATCACTTTCCAATTTAGTGTTTAATGCGAAAGAAGCAAACATCGAGACAGTATGCAGACAAAAGGACTTTAATCATAAGAGCAAATTGCTAGGTGGCATTAACAAAAAACAAGGTCAACTGAATCACACAGTTAATAACTGTTTAGAGCAGCGGTTCTCAACCTGTGGGTCGCGACCCCTTTGGCGGTCGAACGACCCTTTCACAGGGGTCGCCTAAGACCATCCTGCATATCAGATATTTACATGACGATTCATAACAGTAGCAACATTACAGTTATGAAGTAGCAACGAAAATAATTTTATGGTTGGGTCACAACATGAGGAACTGTATTTAAAGGTTGAGAACCACTGGTTTAGAGCATTATGAAGAAAATATTCCATGCTATGATCAGGATGCTGTGTTTACAAACGTAAAGACAAAAGTAAAAGGCACTGAAACTGTGTTTAGAAACGAGAACATTTAAATCCCAGAAAACTGAAGTACTGTTGTAGTATGAAAATATATCATCCAAAGTCCAACAAATAAATAAAAATCTAGACTCTTCAAAAATGAATATTTTAAACTTGGGTCAACTAGGTTTGGCTACCTACTGTCAACTTCTAAAGATGGTCCTGGTTAGATCACAAAAAGAAAACGCAAAATGATGTGACACCGCATATATGATGCTTTATTTTTTCTAATGAATTTTTAAAAATTACATTTTTGAGAGATGTCTACCCAATTTCTCCACATACACACAAAAAAACTGATTCCTATTGAAAAACAGGAATGAAAAACATTTGGTCAGGTTCTTAGGTGTTACAGAGCAAATATACTTTAAAAAAGGAAAACCTAAAAATAGATGAACACCAAATTTAACCTCATAGTCAAATTCCAAGCAATACATTCCATAAAATAGCAACACACCCAATACACAAAATCTCTCCACCATTAAATTAAAAAAAAAAAAATGAATACCAATGAGCTACATTCTTAGATGGACAAAAACTAAACTTTGTAAAGATCAAGACATAATGGTCTTGCCCTAGCTGGTGTGGCTATTGGCTGGAGTATCTGCGGTACACAAAAGGTGGTGGGTTCAGTTCCTGGTTGGAGCACATACCTGGGTTGTGGGTTGGATTCCTAGTCAGGGAGCACGCAGCATGTGAGGGAGACAAACCAATAGATGTTTCTCTCTCACATTGATGTTTCTCTTTCTCTCCCCCACCCCCAAATCAATTTAAAAATTTAGAAATATTTTTTAAAAAGAAATAATGGTGACAATGTTATATACTCTGAATTTCAATTTCCACTAAATATTTTCCTCTGTAAATCTCAATAACATTTTAAAAAATAAAAGCAGAACTATTTCTTGGGAACAGTTGGGGAATTAACACCCAAAAATAAAAACACTTTCTTTTTATTTTAAACTATCTACCTTAATGTGGCAAACAAAAATATTAAAATGTAAAGTCATTGGATTTTTACTAATAAAACTTTCATGTGAAATCCCAGGTAATTTTAAATATTTAATGCTACCAAAATATTTCTCACTTCTTATTACATACTTAAGAAACTTCAAGTAAGATTCAGAAATTAAAATATCACACACTTGCTAACCTGATAATAAGGTAACATTTTTTAAGCAAAAATAAAACACAATATTTGAAGGATAAGAT